AACTTTATCTTTCTTACAATTAAAACTTGTATCTTTCTGAACATTTGCAGGAACTTTTGCTGTTTTGGGTGGTTCCACGGAGATGCCCTGGGCTTATGATCGTCTGTTCAGATACGAAATAACACAGGTGTTCAATAGCCTGAGACTAAGACAGGACTCCAAGTTCCACTTTGAGGTTCACATCACGGCCGTCAACGGCACTCACATGGAGCCCAGTCTGTTGAGATCTCCTAGCGTACAATTTGTTCCTGGAGGCAAGGGTACGTGAGTCTATATTTTCTTATCCGATTATTATATTCCGGTGTGTGAGAGGCGGCTTGCTGAGGGGTTATAAAGCTTGACTTTCGTATGGGCGATCCGGGATCGAATACTCAGTAAGTTGATGCAGGTCTGTATCTGAAGTGGACACAAATAAACGTTCTAGTCTGCGCAGGTTTTGGCTTCTGAACTAGACGTTGCTTTTAATCCCTATGGTCACGTCTCTCCCTCTTCGTCCTGCACAGCCGTAAAGCATGCCAGGATAGACTAGAATTACTAGTAAGTAGCAGCAGCAGCAGTAGCAGCAGCAGCAGCAGTAGCAGCAGCAGGAGCAGCAGCAGCAGCAGTAGCAGCAGCATTAGCAGCATTAGCAGCAGTAGCAGTAGCAGCAGCAGGAGTAGCAGCAGCAGCAGTAGCAGCAGCAGTAGCAGTAGCAGCAGCAGTAGTAGCAGCAGTAGCAGTAGTAGCAGCAGCAACAGCAGTAACAGCAGTAGCAGCAGTAGTTGTGTATTCTAAAATAATATAACCTGTTCCCACAATATTGTTGACCTTTTTAGCAAAAATCTTCCAGAAAGCAACTGCAAACTACTTAAGGTAAAATCTTACTAGAAAAACCACAACAGCCAAAAAATGCTGGGATCAGCTTAGCAACGCCCTGTAAAGGATACGTAACTAACTCCTCCCCCCCCCCCCCCCCCATGTTTACAGCCTCCTTTCACACTTTCATTAAACCACTTCATTTGTCAAGGTTACGATGTGAAAGCTCCAGTGCCATTGCCAGAACATAGACAGACGCTAATGAGAAAGTCCGTGAATGACCTGACCCTCGCAGAATCGGCTAATCTCAAGGAGGCGCTGCACAAGCTCCAGCAAGACCACGGTCCCACTGGGTTTGAGGCCATTGCCAGTTTCCACGGAGCACCGTTTCTGTGTCCAGAAGCCAGGGAGGACAAATATGCCTGCTGTGTCCATGGTAAGGGCTCCCGGTTGTTGATTTTTTAATCAAGTAATGGTAATGTTAGTTTCAGCTTCATAGTAAACGGGTCATCCCATAGTTGCACCGCTTCTGTGCTAACGAAAAACACACCGAATTTTCATCCAGTCGCTTGTGGAGAGATTGACAGACTGCTGTCTCAGCATATGCACTAGCATACACAAACATTAAAAGCATACGGTAGATATCAGGAGTGCTAACACAAACAGTCCGACATTAGAAATGCAGTTCATTATCCACGGTAGAAGAGGTAACTAACAAATCATCAGTTACACACGTAAATTAAGTTTATATGGAGTATATCGTATTATTGAACAGGGCCTGTTTCAGAACGTTGTTTAGGGAGATACTTGAACTTTGTATTTTTCCGCTGTTCCCTAGCGTGTCGCAGAAAGGAGTTAGACTTAGTTTCCTGTCTTCTGCTAGTTGCGTAGCTAGCTTGTGTTTATGTCATATTGCGTTTCCGTAATGTCAATTTTGTTCCCTCTATTTGTGTCTTTCTTGGTCAGCCACTTGCCCTGTTGCCTGCTGTTCTTTAGCTACACTATGCGGGATTCACTAACGATACGATCTGAGCACTTATGGACTACATGGTTTGATAAGCAATTAGAATACAAGGATGCTTCGAGCAGAGTGAAAAGCTTCACTGGAAAGGTGACGGGTAGTGAGCATACTTTTCTTGAGGCTATGCCGGCATAGTGGGTAATGAACAAGCAGGTTAACTGGATCTGCACCACCGGGTGGTGAATTGATACATGACAAGGCAGATGGAGTCAAGGCCCTTGGGGAACAAGCAACAGAATCAGTAGATATAGAAGATTATTATGGCCTGGAGAGAATGAGACACCTTGGTGTAACCAGAGGGTCTGGCCGGCTCACTACACACAGAGGAAAGGCATGACAGACATTTAACCAGATTGTGTCCGGTACCATGAGTATTGGAACTCTGCGCTGGCTGCTGAAGATAAAGACGGAGCACGCATGAGAATGCCTAGAGTCCTGTGATGTCAATTCTTGATTCAACTCAACTTAGCTTAGGATACTCTATAGACTTGCTAACTGGCTAACTCCCTAGCTGCTGGATGATTGTGTTCCATTGTGACCAAACGATTTGATTGCTTGATGTTCTGTGAAATCATTTACTGGGACTGTGCCTACTATTGTTCTTAGTTCTGTGTTGGTGACTCCACCTGTTATTGTTTTTGCCGCCGCATTTCTTATAAATCTCATGTCACATGTTCTAATTGTGCTTTAATGTTTTTCTCGTAGATTTTACATTACATTGTACGCTACTGGTGTTTGAATCTGTAACTTTATGTACTGCAATGTAGTATTTATTATTAAACAATGCATGGTTCCAAGCGTAATACGTGGAGAGATCTTAATACGTCTCAGTAATGTTTTGTTACTCTGAATTAAAATAATTCGAACACAAACAATAGGTTACATTGTTGATGTAACTATGTGGTAAAATACCCGATGAGATTCGACAAGTTATACGAAGCAATGGCTTGTACAACATATTATTTGTGTCCGGCTGCGTCCTTCAGTTCATGAGTGCGATTTTTGTTCAGAGATCCACGGCTATCGCTACCGGAGATAGGGAGTTCGTGCTCTGTGCTGCGCTCTCGGCATGCAGCTAGCCGTTCTTCGGAGAGAGATCTAGTCAAATGGGATTAAACCCCGTGCAATTAAGGCGATGCTCTCGACTTTAACCTTTTACTTTTATTAAATGGTTCAGCATTATTGAGTTGTTGCCTATGCTGTAGTCCTTAAGGACGAAAATATGAGCTTTTGGGCTGAAATACTATAGAGACATTTTCATAATAGTATGGTAAAAGAAGAAAAGAAATACTGACATCTTAAAAGATCTGAACATCAAGGAAGATGGACTAGTAAACAACATCTTGTCTCAGAAGCTGAAATATTTTGACCTTATCAAGCCCCAGGCGGATTGGAAGAAAAAAAAAAGCAGAAGGCATAGTACCAGGTGCGCTTTGCGTTGGTTTCAACAGTGGTATCAGGGGGTCGACCGTCCAAAGGCAATGGCAAACTACTGGACGTAAATTTGCCTAGAGATACCACACAACAGCCAGGGGCTCCTGATGTTGGTTCTGCAACGTCCTGTAAAAGATACGCAACTCACCATAGTACCAGAAAGAGAGGCAGGGGCCGACTAGCATGTGGATAGGCACCGGATATAAGGTACAGCTCCTGGTAAATAGGCGCACAAGGCGGGAGAGCTGGTAAGAGACAAGGTCTCTCACAGGCAGACAGTGATCGGAGCCACGCCTGCTACATAATGATGTTAAACCAAAAGGTTAATCGTTAAGTATCGCGAAAGTCGAAAGAACTGATTTCAGTGCTTTGGATTTGATCTTATATGGCTCGGTCAGTATCCGGCGAATGGCTAACAACTGTGTCATCTATAAACTCGAACCAGATGTGGATTCAAGTCAAAGGACTCAGAGCAGACAGAGGAATGTCTCAGCCACTGGGTTACTTCTGCTGCCAGATGGTGCACACGTTGAGGGGGCATTATTGCAAGATTTTTCTCTGTGGGTTCGAGGGCCCCACTTTAGTTGGAAACAAGAATAGACCCACTGCCTCCCTAGCAAGCATGTCGTATGAATAGACTAGCTGAGAGCATTCTCGGCAGTCGGAGTGCATGTGTCTGAGAGGCAAGGCATCAAGAATCTGCAAACAAATAGTCCGGGTCTGTGAAACGGGTGTGCACGAACCCTATAATTCAGGAAAAAGACTAAAGTACGGCGGTGGACGAACAACCAGAACTTTCCGCCGGAGTTTACAGCCGGTGAACGCGAAGAAGATAAAAAAAAAAGAAACGATTAAGGACGACATACCATCATCATTTTTTCCCCTTGTGCCGTTGTATGGCACATAGGGCTCACAGTGTTTGCCTCTGTTCCGTTCTATCATCTGCAATTAGTTAAATATCATCGATGGAATCCAGTTCATCACATCTGGCCTCTCTCAATACCGTTTGTTATAGAGTTCCTTCGTTTCCTCCATCCTTCTGTATCTTATGTTAGTATCTATTTTGTGATTTCCTGCTGGTTTTCTCTCAAAATGTGTCCAACACAAGTTCCGTCTTTTTGTTTTGTACTGCTGTTACCAGCAATTGCCAAGTCATTTCTCCGATTTCTTTACCCTTCTTCAAATTATTCAATTTAATGTTCAATACTTTCCTCATTATTTTCAAATGCATTTCGAATGAACTGTACTTGGCAAAGCAACCTGGCCTCAAAAGCAGCTTGTGCAGAGTAAGCTATGGAGATCCATAAAGGCCCTGCAACTGATTTGCGAATTTATCGAAGCAGCCCATCTCACGAACTTACTTGAGCATACAAAACCGAACGCAATAAAACAAATGATTTCACTTTCCTGCCTTGCCTTTAATGGTTCTCCAACAGTTACAAGAGTGTCATGTGGTATTTTTAAAAAAAAAATATTAACTGTTTAAAGTATGATCGTGTGACTTCCAAAGGGTTTCAAACTGTACCCATGTATGTTTAGCTAATTCTCCCTGTTCCCAGGCATGCCGACTTTCCCACACTGGCATCGTCTCCTGACTCTCCAGTTTGAGCAAGCCCTGCAGAAGGCTGGTGCTCTGACAGGCGTGCCCTACTGGGACTGGACAGAACCTAGCAGAACATTGCCTGTCTTCTTTGGTGATGGGAGCAACAACAATCCTTTCCATGACTATACCATCACGTTTGCTGGTCAGGTAAGAGAATACTGGGAAGTACTGAACATAACACAACCTGTGGCTGGAAAGATGCACAGAAGAAATGGAAAAGACACAAGCACGCACACGCACACACACACACACACACACACACACACACAGAAAACATGCAAAGACAAGTAGGTAATTGTACCCTAGCAGGACATCACACCAGCGATAAACACCCGGTGACACAAAGTGTCACCATGCAGATGAGGATCACCCGTGGAGAGGACCCGGAAGCCCCGTTCAGACATTAGACCATATTTATGGCCCGTCTATATTTAGGGCCCCCCGGCAAAAGACAAGATGAGGCTTCAAAATATGAAGAAAAAAATGCATCCCGCAAGGAGACGACTTGTATTATGACATAGCATACAAAGTAGAAGATTAGCCCATTTACAAACTGTCTGATGTATCGGCTTGAGGAATCTTGGCCTTGCTTAAGGACGTAATTATTTTTCAAGAAGCCCCAGTTTTTCGCATGTTGAAAGCTTTTTAACTGCAAATAGTTATCTTCCAGAGAACAACTCGAGATGTGGAACCAAACCTGCATCGCCCCAACGAAGAAGACGACAAGAACCGTCTGTTCCAGCTGACTCTAGATGCCCTGGAGGAGGACAATTACTGTGACTTTGAAATCCAACTGGAGATCCTTCACAATGAACTCCACGCTAGGATAGGAGGAAACGGGACTTATTCTATGGCTACGTTGGATTATTCCGCTTTTGATCCATTCTTTATGATCCACCACTCCAGCATTGATAGAATATGGGTCATATGGCAGGTAGGTGGATTCAACACCATCATCATCATCTTTCGTGTTTCGTTAGATGTCACATAATGCTCCCATTCGACCCCGCTTTATTGCATGCAACTCTCTCTATTTATGTCACATAGTTGAGCCCAGCGTTTTTAGCTTCTTTTAATAATTTTCTTCTGACTATAAAATAAACCCTTGAACGTCCTTTTTTTTCTTAGACCGATTGTTTCCCGCACTCAGAGCACCGCAGATGTTTGGTTGTTCGGTTGACAGCGATGGCATCCATTTCTGCCTGTTTCTGGGGTATGAAAAAAAAACAAATCTTGTGTTGAGGTAGCTGGCTTCATGCACAAGCCCTCCTCCTTTTTCACCCAGGCTTGGGACCGGCAATGGAGTTGATATACATCGTGTTAATTTTCACAACATTTTCTTAGGTGGCACTTTTCCGTCTTTCCAGACATTACTGTTCTGTGCTACAGAGAGGCATGGAAATTATTCTGTTTGGATGACGGGAGTGACTGGCAAAATCTGCTATCGTTAAGAAATTGTATTTCACAGCTGGACCGTGGCATGTCAGGACCGTGGCATGTCAGGACCGTGGCATGTCAGGACCGTGGCATGTCAGGATTGTTGCTGCTTGTATTTAACCTGTTTCTTCCCCGACGCTAAGCTCTTTATCTGCATTCATTTTCTCATTTATTTCCATTCAGTTATTTATTCCCCTCTTCCATGCAACGCGATCCATGGCCCGTGTTCCCATGAATCCAGCTCAATACATACCATTCATGTCCCGCTTGAGGACATCTTTATATCGTAGTAAATGCTTCAGATCGAAATCTTCTGCCCGCCTGAAAATCATCATATAGGATGTCCTTGGAAGCATTGCATCCTCCATCCTTCTAACCATCTCAGTCTTCGAAGAATGAGCATTGAGAAGACTATGCAGATTTCCATGCCGTCCAGTATTCAAGAGGATTTGTGGTCTTGTCTTGCCACTGAATGCCAGTTATGCTTCGTAGACATCGCATTTGAAAACGATTTAAACATTACGTTTTTCTGATTTAAAAATGCAGCTGAACTTCGTTAAAATGGACTCGCTTAAGACGAACAGTCAGTTAAAACGAATTATTTAAACATGAAGTCTTGATTTTGCGGTCCAGGGGAATTATTCGTGTTAAGGAGGTTTTACAGTAAAAAAAATGTACCCGTTGACTGATGAATGTTGAATTTAGAATCGATATCATTGCACTCGGGACACTCCCATAAGCGATACGTTCACATCTCCAGCATCAAGCGAAAGGTTATAATTCTGATTGTATCGGTAGCTGTCTGATTGTACATCCGTCCCGCCTTTTCCTTGATTATTGAGCGTTGGCCAGATCCCCTGGTAGCTCCCTAGGCGACATTTTTCTGAAACCGTAATTATCTTTTCCCTTGCTTCCTCACAATATCTAGGCTGTCATACATCAGTACACCGCCAAGTGGTGCAGAACCAGCCAGTCTGTCTGCCTTCTCGCTTCCCAGCACACCAGCAAGATATGAGTAGTTTCACAGCATATATTGTCGTTAGGATGTAAAATGTTCGGCTTAACATATGTGGACAGCAAAAAATCATGTAGTTTAGCATCCTTGACGACAGATTCATCACACCGATTTTAGCCTGCAAAGAAGTGATAGTTACCGCAACATGACGACGGCACAGAGTTCTTCTCTCGTGCGGCATGCTGTCCTGTGTGGTGTCAAATAAGTAAATCCAAGACGTTTGTATCGGTTATTCTGTTTCTCAATAACTGTGATTTGCTATGTAAAATGATCCTTTTTGACACCATTAGGCGCATTAGGCATATAGGGCTAGACCTATATTTTATAGACAAATCGGCGCTTTTTGGGTCATGTGGCTGCTTTTAATTCACATGACTTTAACTGGTACCAGTTTGACTGATGTTGTATCTGCCTTTTCTAAGTGTTATACTCTATCCAATTAACATACGTTTGTTCTGAATAATTGTGATTTTTCTAATTGATTCCCCCCCCCCCACCCCCTACCCCTCATTAATTATATTTCCACTCAAACTACTTTATAAATGATGCAGGAACTTCAGAAAATCAGAAAGAAGCCATTCAACTCTTCTAACTGTGCTGGTCAGTTACTGGACCAGCCACTCCATCCCTTCGACTACTCCTCCGTGAACCAGAATTTATTCACTCGACGTAACTCCTTGCCAAGTTTGGTCTTTGATCATGGACGTCTGGGGTATGAGGTCAGTGGAATTATGTAATTTGTTGTTATTCATCCTTTCTATCCGACTGGTGTATACTTTCCTAACCTGAATGTGAAAGGCAAAAAGTGGATAGCTAAGAAGGAGGGATAGATGCAAAAGAAAGATGATAGCAATGAAAAGACGGGCTGCAGCGAGTCGCAGCTAAATTTTAAAGCAAGTCTCCTATCGACAGTGCTAACGCGTCCCATACACATCAATTCTACATATCTGGCTTATCTGTATGCAGAATGTTTGTTTCTCGCTCTTTCGTGAAAATATACTCCGACCTCAAAGAAAACACCACTAATTAGTTGCCTTTTACGACATTCTTTATAAGCGACTGTGCTTTCCTCCCCCCCCCCCGACCCCCCCCCCCCCCCCCGACCCCCAATGTAGCCCTGGAACGCAAACGTGAGTAAATTAAATAATATAACAGTGTATGCTTGTTAGAAGAACTGGCAGGGGATGACCACCACCAGCCTGTCCACATGATAACAGCAACACCCTGATCATGACAGCTCACAAGGCACAACAGTTTACTTTGAACCGCGTTGATTTCCAGGGATGCCAGCAAGGTTCTGCACAAAACCTGCTACATAATGATGATGAAAAGACTTTGAGTGAGACAAAGATAATGAGATTAAACCATTGCAATGTGCTCTGCTAGGGGTTTGTTTCTACACTCCACATTGCTATATTGACGAACACTTAGTTGCTGTGACACACCAGAAACGAATGTTAAGTTAGAGACCTTTATTCGCTGAATCAAACATTTCACTGACAGTGCATTCTTTCGTCCTTGTGGTCGTTATGCCTGGCTGATTTCTAACGACCTGGCCAACTCTCTCGCGCACTGCTTTGCTCCATCTGTATCTCTCGAATCACACATTTATCTCCTACTAAATCCTTGTACCTGGTATTAGTACATGTTGAAACTGGCAATCAGGAAACATTCATATCTTCTCTGGAACAATTCTACGTGGTCACAAGTTCTCCATTCTAATCAGGCGTTCTCTCACATACTACTTCTCGCAACCAGGTCCAAACTTCCACTGTCTTACTACCGTCTCTCGGTTCACGTCTTCCGTTCCAGTCTTTGCACTAAACCTCAGTCATTCTCTCCACAGTATATTAAACTCTTTGCAATAAACTTCAGTAATTCTCTCCACAATATATTAAACTCTTTGCACTAAACCTCAGTAATTATCTCCACAGTATATTAAACTCTTTGCACTAAACCTCAGTCATTATCTCCACAGTATGATAAACTCTTTGCACTAAACCTCAGTAATTCTCTCCACAGTATGATAAACTCTTTGCACTAAACCTCAGACATTCTCTCCACAGTATGATAAACTCTTTGCACTAAACCTCAGTCATTCTCTCCACAGATTGATAAAGTCTTTGCACTAAACCTCAATCATTCTCTCCACAGTATGATAAACTCTTTGCACTAAACCTCAGTAATTCTCTCCACAGTATGATAAACTCTTTGCACTAAACCTCAGTCATTATCTCCACAGTATGATAAACTGGAACTCAATGGGCACGATACAGCAGCGCTAAGTTCAGTCATTTCCCGCCATCGAAGCCAGGATCGAATTTACCTGTCTGGTGCCCTGTATGGAATCAAGGGCTCTTTTGTTTGTGTGGTAAGCTTTATTTTGATGCATCAGAGTCGTCTGCTGGCTGTGAATGATTATCTATAGTGAACTGTACTGTCGATAAAGAACAAGAAGGGAGATAATGTAATCACTGTGCCTGACAGAAAACGTTCTGTAATAAATGTTGAACGGTGAATAAAGAATCGACATCACTTCACTCTGGACACTAACATTAGTGCTCATCCCCCATCTTCAGCAGCAAGCGAGAAGTTCCAATCCTGAAAATACCATTATCCGTCGTTTTTTGTATATCCTTCTCGCCTTTTCCCTGAGTGTCGAGCGTCGGCCAGATTCCCTGGTAACTCCTCGCAG